TTTCCTCCACACTCTTCACTAAGAAAGACAAGGGTGGCTTAAAGGAGCCACTCAATTCTTTTACAACAAGATGAGTATTTCTCTCAAACCTCACCTCTTTACAATGTAAGCCCCACAAATCCTCTCAATACATCACTCTTGAAGGAATCAACACACCCCTAAGATCACTCACTAAAAGCACAGAAGAGGATTACAAGCAATGATCACTCAAAGATAAAAAACTCAAGTTAAAGCTCAAGTAGATAGGTAAAGATATTCAATGTAATGTTTTCTAAACTTCTTCAGATTTGTTACCAACCATATTTATAACCCCTTGCTCGAAAATAGCCGTTACTAGCTGTTGGGGGTCATTAAATGCTCTGCAGGAGCAAAAGTCGAGTTGCAGGATTGTTAGGAGAGCCAGCTTAACATTCTAGAGCCAGCTCTGCAGAGTCGGCTATCCGGGTTTGCAGACCATTTTGTTTTTCTTGAGAGCCGATTGCAAAAATTTGAGCCGGCTTTGCAACTCCGACTTTAAATACATTAAATAATCTTCAAATGACTCGACCGTTGTGCATTAAATGCACCCTCACAGTCGGCTATAAAGTTGGAGTCGGCTTTGCGTCTTTTCTCCGCGCGCGCCAAGCAACGGTCTTCAAATTTTTGCCTGTAGAGCCGGCTGCAAATTCTAGAGCCGGCTGTAGATTCTAGAGCCGGCTGCAGATTCTAGAGCTGGCTGTAGATTCTAGAGCCGGCTCTCTGCACATTTTGAATCCTTTTGGTCTATTTTTAGTGCAATCCAAGTTTACTTGTAATCTTTTAGCAACTTAAGTACACACTTAAATAAACTAATTAGTCACTCAAATGTGTTTTGTAATAATCAAATTCATAGGTACAACAATTTTAAATTTATAAGTGAGTATAACTTCGTAGTATTCATCATTTCATTTTAATTAAAATTATGCTGTGAAAAAATTATTAATGAAGACACGTTGGAGAAAACATTCTCCACTTTTCATGCCTTGAATTTGCTCATTCAACAATAATATAGAAAGCGTGACTTTAAAAAATATTTAGATTTGATATCTTGTCTTCTTGTTGTTGAACAAAATAATGAATTTTTGATGAAAAATCATCAATCATGACCTACTGGTTTAGCCTTATTACCTGAGGCAAATGCAAGCTTATATAATAATAGTGGGCGTGGTCACGATTGTCGCCGTGGTCATAATCATGGCAATAACTATGGCCAAGGGCATGCCTGTGGTCAAAATAATATTTGATATCACAGTGGTTTTAACCCCGAATATGAATCTGCTGAACAAAAAAATGTAAGTGGTAGAAATTTACAAAATAACCCTACAAAATTTTTTGAAAGTTTTTGTAATCGATGTGGAGCGCAAGGACATTAGGAGCATGTTTGTTGCATTGTTAGGCATTTGGTTGACTTTACCAAGCCTCACTTGATGAAAAGGGAAAAAGAAAAAGATCCAGAAATGAATTTCATTAAGCATAACAATATAGATATTGATACACACCTTAATGTTGCTGATTTTTTAAGGGTGTTGAAAAGTTTAATGATGTTGGTGGTATCCAATCAAGAGTTTGACTTATTATGTCCTCTTAAATAATTTGTCATAAGTGGCTATTTTCCTGTTATTTATATAATATCTTTTTTTTATGTTCAATAAAAGAATAAATCATTTTAAATTATATATATTGAATATTTATCTCTTTTATTTCATTTGTCTTTATTTAAGACCTAATGGATTTAGATGATGTTAATATCAATGATGGAGACCTATGTCTTGTTGACAATAACACAACACATACCATCTTGAGAAATAAAAATTATTTTTCTCAATTAAAGTTAGTTGAGGCTTATGTTTACACAATTTTTGGTATGACAAAATTGATTGAAGGATCTGGAAAAGCTTATATTTTGTTTTTTGAAGAAACAAAATTATTAATACACAATACTCTATATTCTAGTAGATCAAATCAAAATATACTAAGTTTTAAGGATATACATCGTAATGATTTCCAAATTGAAACCATGGATGAAAATGGAATAGAATTCCTCCATATCACAACTTTTGCACTTGGGAAATAGAAAATGTTAGAGAAAATGTTAACTTTTTCTTCTCGATTGTATTATACATGCATACATTCAATAGAATTCAATGCTGGAACTAATAAAAAATAGTTAATCAAGATGCCTTTATCTTTTGGTATAATCGACTTGGTTATTCGGGTACTATTAGGATGCAGAGAACTATAGAAAGTTCACATGGACACCCATTAAAGAACTTGAAAGTTCTATTATCAAGTGATATTTTGTGTGTTGCCTATTCTCTTGGTAAAGTAATTACCAAGTTTTCTGCAACAAAAATAGAAAATAAATGTCCTCCATCTTTAGAACGGATTTAAAGAGATATTTGTGGACTTATAAATCCACTATTTGGACCATTTCGATATTTATGGTGTTGATATATGCTTTAACAAAATGGTCACATGTTTGCCTATTATCTACATGCAATGTTGCATTTGCAAGACTTCTTGCACAATAATAAAATTGATGGCACAATTTCTTGATTATACAATAAAAAAAATCCAAGTTGATAATGTAGGAAAATTTACATCCTAATCATTTTATAATTATTGTATCTCAATTGAGATTATTGTTAAGCATTCAATTCCTTATATATATACACAAAATGGTATAGCTGAATCCCTTATTCAGCATATGCAATTAATTGTAAGACCGTTACTTATGAGGTCAAAGTTACTCTCTTCCGGTTGGGGTCATGCTATATTGCATGCTGCAACAATAATTCAATTAAGACCAATTGCTTATCATAAGCATTCACCATTACAATTTGTTTCCGGGATTGAACCAAATATATCCCATTAAAGATTTTTGACAGTGCTATCACTACTAGAATTTTGTCTATTGTTTGGTGGTTATT